TCTTTTGGAAGAGAAGGTGTTGGATTGAGTTAAAAGGGGAAAGGAAACATCAAAATGGATATGTTCCTAGGTCATCAGCAGAGAACAAGACATTGAGAGACTTGAGCATGGCCTACATGGTCTTGTTCAGGTGTTTTAGTCATGCCTTTAGTAATTTTTGAGGTCTTGGAGGACAGACACCTGCTTTTCTTGTTCCTGGGTGTTGGGTTCAGGTCATTCACGTTTAAAGCATGGCTGTACCACTTTGTGAAACCAAATGCATGTATTCTCTCTAAGCCACCATTTCTCTCTCTGGACATAGGTGGTATCTATCTTAGCAGGCAACTGTGAACATCAAATTGAAGAGTATTGCGGGGGGGGGGGTCAATTGAGGAAAAAGGAGGGGGGCCCCGTGTGCATCCAATGCCCTGGCCCTCCAAACTCCGGGCAGCTTTCTAGACTCACCGTGGAGTCTGAGTCTCCTTCCTCCTCATCTCCCTGCTCCTCCCACCCCTTGTTCAGCACAGATCTGGGGTCTCTGGGGGCCCAGAGAGCTGCCCAGACCAAAACCAGACTGGGGAAAGCATAGCGGAGCCCTCAGGCCTCTTGGTTGAAAGGCTCCTCTAGGATGTTGACGGTTGCCATAACAACTTCCTGGCTGCTGAGTGGAGAGAGCAAGGCTCTGTCCCTCTAGCCAGAGATGGAGAGAGGCCGAAGGGACCTGGACTGTGTGACCCCAGGCCTCCGCCCTGGCCCAGCCCAGGAAAACAGCCTTCTTGGTCTGTGCCAGCTCCGCAGCCGGTCTGGGCTGCTGGCGCTTTTACAAAGAGGGGAAAAGGCTCAGAGAGGTTCAGTAACTTGATGGAGGCCACACAGCCTGTAAGTCCATGCTCACTCCTGGAGAAGGAAGGGGAAGAAGGATAGGTTGGAGGGAGTGGGGGGCCATCTGGGGCAGCTGTGGTCTAGTCAGGAGTCCTGGTCTGGGAGGCCTGCCACCCGGATGCTGGGCTCTGTCTCTCCCTCACTGTGTGGCCTGGGATCAGTGGCTTCCCCTCTGGACCCCGGTTTTCCCAGTTGTGAAGATGAAGATGATGATACATGCCCGCGGGCCCCACGGGGCTGCTGGGAGAATAGAATGACATGAAGA